GTGGGTTGAGAGGATTGGCCCAGGTGCCCAACTACACCTGCCAGGTGCTACCTATCACCTGGAGGGTGTTTACTTAAAATTAGAGATCTGCCCAGTTATTCTCTTTATAGTTGATTTCTCTTTAGAGTCAAACACCTAACAAAACAAACACAAAGAGGGCACATGTATTTTAATAATAATTAAAAATAAAGAAAAACACGGCAGGGCTGTAGCTCAGTGGTAGAGCACTTGCCTATCACGTGCAAGGCACTGGGTTCAAACCTTGGCACCACATAAAAATAAACAAATAAAATAAAGGCATTCTGTCCATCTACAACTACTTTTTTTTTAATAAAGAAACACAAAGGATGCTTCTCCAGACTTTTTTTTGCCTCCAACTAGCCTTTCTTTGACTAGGTTTTCTTTTGTAATTCTCACAGTGCAAGTTCCTCTTAGAGCCACCTAGTTATTTTAGGAGCAGTGGCGCTGACACAATCATATACAAGAAAACATCACGATGTAGACTGTTTTCAGGGGGGTGACGCTGACATCTGTCTCAACTTTATCTGGAGGCAGCGTTTGTAAGGCACATGAGAGCATCAACAATGCTGGAAAGGCACCACCTGTTTCCAGGCCTATTTGAATACTCTCCATCCTACAATATAAGCTATTCATCACCTGCTGCAAATTATTTTATATATTCATTAAAGCTTGCCTTCTGTGGCCTGTTCCCAGGCAACAAATGTGATGGGGGAGAATAGAGAAGGTACTGGAGAAAATGATCCTTAAGAGCCCAGGTAAAATTTAGACCTTAAATAAATTGAAATGGTCACCTCCTAGTAGCCGAAGATTCGGAGGCTCTAAGAGAAACCCTCTGAAAGTGGTGCCTTATTTCCTTAGTTCTAAGAAGCTATCAAGCATAAGATGTATTTTTGAAAGCAAATACCCACTGCCAACGAAATCATGACACAACTGAAAAATGCACCTTAATTTTTAAAAGGTTAAAATTGGGAGGAAAACCTCTCTTAGAATCAATGACATATGGCTTTTCCTCTGTCAGCCACACGTCCTCCCCCTGCCCCCAGTCTTCTTCACTGTCAGCCAGAGACACCAACCCTTCTCCCACCTCACTTAATTGTGAAAACATTTAGATCCGTCTCTGCTTGGCAGCAGAGTGTATCCTTTCCAAGTCCCCATCAGTCTATAATCTCCTTTTCTCTCCCATTCAATACTCAGCAAAACCCCGGTTTTTCAGGACTGCCGCAGGGCCTGCAGCCTATCGGTTTGCTCTCCTCTGTTTAACCCTGGATTGAGCTGGGTCAGCAGAGAGCAGAGGACTGGAAACAGTGGGTGATCCCTCCAGAGAGGTGCAGCCAGGCTCTCCCATCTGCATCCCCTGTCCATCCACAGGGAGGACGCGCCTGACACCTTGTTGTCAAGGACATAGACAGGGTCTTCATGAAGATCCACTGCAAACATTTTGGGGGGTTTCATACCACAAATCTTTTCTTTTCTTTTCTTTTTTGGTACTGCAGATTGAACTCAGGAACACCTGACCCCTGAGCCACATCCCCAACCCTATTCTGTATTTTATTTAGAGACAGGGTCTCACTGAGTTACTTAGTGCCTCGCTTCTGCTGAAGCTGCTTTCAACTCTCGATCCTCCTGCCTCAGCCTCCTGAGCCACTGGGATTACAGGCATATGTCACCTCGCCCAGATAGAAATCTTTTAAAAATAAACTTTTCAAGTTGAGGAGTAACATATATACTGAAAAACACACAATTTGTAAGCATATGGCCAAATGAATTGTCACAAATTATAACTACCGCTCAAATTAGAAAAAATGGAATGCTATCCACATCTCAGAAGCCCCTGCGTGACTTCTCCCCATCACTACCCGCACCTTCCTCCCACAGGCAAACTCTATCCTCATTTCTAACACCATCCATTAGACTTGCAGGTTGAGGACCCTTAATTCAAAAGTCTAAAAGCTGAAAAGATTGTGGAGCTATTGGATTTTCAGATGAGGAATGCTTACCCACAAAGTCTCTGCAAATTTTCCTCTGAAATCAGAGACACCCAACTCTGGTCCTAAACCTTTCAGTTAAGGGACGCTCAACCTGTTTTTGAAATTTACATAAATAGAACCACAGAGTATATATTCTTTTGGTCTGGTCTCTTCCACTTACCATTATGTGTGTGAAATTCTTCCGTGTTGTTTTGAGCAGCACAAGGTTAATTTTCTCTGTATACAATAGTCCATTCTATGAATAGACCATATGCCTATGTATGCATTTAGGTTGTGACCAGTTAGGGGTTATTATGAACAGTTGCTGCCATTTTGGTGCACTTATCAGCCATTTGTGTGAGGTCAGTATCTAGGAGTCAAATTGCTGGGTTACAGGGTACAGGTACTTGGTTAAACACCGAGAGATGACTCCCAGGTGACTACAGAGTGGACTCTCCCAAGGGAGACACCACCAGTAAGGCCACCCCTGGGACTACTCAGCCCACAGACCCTTTATTCCTCCTGCCTGTTGAACACCTGGAGTATGAATGCCAAAACCCTCACGTCTGCATGACTTCACTTATCAGTACAAAAGGAGGGGGAGAGAGGAGGGGTTTATATTGACACCCAAAAGGGACTATTGAGACCAAAGAGGAAGCACCAGGTTTTTCTGGAATAAAGAATTAATGTAACACTCTCTACAGTACTCTATAATAGTTGGCTTTATTAATGTGGAACAATTAATGCCAGCCATAAAAGAAGGTATAATTCAATGTGATTATTACAAGTTACAATTTATTTCCCTCTGCTTTTTTTTTCCTCCAGTGCTAGGAATCAAACCCAGGGCCTTGCACATGCCAGGCAAGGGCTCTACCACGAGCTACCCCCACCCCCAGCCCCCAGCCCTCTCTTTTTCTTAAACTTCTATTTAATTAATAACAACCACTATTACAACAACGACAAAAACTTAGCACCTTATGACCAACTTGAAACAGGCTGTTCAGGAAGAGCAATGAAAAAAGAAAGCAGAGACTGGAATGTTCGCTCCATGCTGGCTCATCGGGCAGTGTTGGTGGCTTTGAAAATTCACCGCAACTTCTTCCCTAAGCTGGTTCCTTTGTGATGCATCCTCCTGAGCTCTACCCACGACTGCCACAGTAGCAGTCCTGGGATCAGAACCCACACCCCGTTAAAGAACACGAGATAGACCCAAAAGTGGAGCCAATCGTCGGTGTCGAGGTTGGGGCTTCCGATGAGCCACTCTGGGGAGAAGGTCATCCAGTCACCGTACAATTCACACACGCACAGCGTAATCTGTAGGAAATGCCTGCCCCAGGGAAGAAGCAAGGAGTCAAACTACAGCTCAGCACCGCTCACACCCTGGATTACGACATTCCTTCTTTAAGGGCAGCATCGATGCAGCCTGTGCTACAGAAAAGCTCTCTGAAGCTGGACCCCGCTGGGTTTTGTGTAGTGCTCCTTTGATGGGCACGTCAAAGCCATAGGTGCAAAGACTCGGTCCTGCCTTGGAGAAGCTGCCTTGCCCTTTCTAGCAGATCATTCTCAGTGAATAAGGACTCTTAGGTCTCTTGGACTATTCTGAAGAAGATTTAAGGCCCAGCAAAGAAAGATCTGAAGGTGAGTCTCGTCATGAGACACAATTTCACCTGTCAAAAAAGGGGGCAATAATAGTCTCTTCCTCAGAGTATTGTGGAGACTAAATGAGATACATAGATAATGGCCGAGCACTGTGTCTGGCACACGGTATGCAAGGATTCTGTGTCTCTCAGATAACAAACGCAGGGGTGCATGTGGTACATTTGCAACCATGGTCCTGGGTCCAAAATATGGTAAGGCACCAAGGAGAAATTTAATTTTTATTGTCAACTATTGCTATAAAATTGGGTGAGAAAAAGTAAATTAATGACCTTGGAGTCCCCTTTCAAATCTGAGGCTTTATGATTAAATTTTAAATGATACTTCTTCAATATCAGAGAGTAGAAACTGTAGTGCAATTGTACCAATTTGACATTGTTTGAGGGCATCATCCCCGGGACTGCCCTCTATTTACCCAGGTCACTTTGTCTCTCAGAAGTAGAGAACAAAAGGGAGGGAAGGAGGAGAATTAGAGCCTCAGAGTCTGCTCAGAGGACGGGTAATTACTCCTCCTCCTCCTTCCACTTCCCCAACCCTCCCCAACCTGCTTCTAAAAAGATCTCTTATTTATCTTTTTGGTATGAGAGACTGGACTCAGGGGCACTTTACCACTGAGCTACATGCCCAACCCTTTTTATTTTTTTTCAGACAGGGGCTTGCTAAATGGTTGAAGGTTTTGCTAAATTGCTGAGGCTGGCCTTGATCCTCCTGTTTCAGCCTCCTAAGTCACTGGGATTATAGGTATGCACCACCACCCTGGTCTCCTATTTATCTTACATGTCTAATTCAGAAATATATAAAAGAATTTAATTTATGTCAAGTGAGAAGAGCTTTCTAGAATGATTTGGGGAAAGGGGGGAAATATTACCCTTTTATCCTCCAAAATATTGGTAGCCAATCAGCCAACACTGTTAACACTACTCTTGCTTTCCTAGAGATAGGGTCATTACCAGAATTTTATTTCTCTTACTTTTAATTTTTTTTTCTATACCAGAGATTGAACTCAGGGGCGCTTAACCACTGAGCCATATCCACAGCCCTTTTTTTATATTTTATTTAGAGACAGGGTCTCACTGAATTGCTTACTGCCTCACTTTTGCTGAGACTGGCTTTGAACCTGCGATCCTCCTGCCTCAGCCTCCTGAGCCACTGGAATTACAGCTATGAGCCACTGTGCCTGACTCTCATATTTTTTATTTTGAATGGTCCCAAATTATCCCCGTGTACTATGACCGTCATTTAATTTGTATTCTACTTTTTATCTTACAAATAAATTTGGTCACAACCTGCTCCAAATGTCACTTTGACACTGGGGACAGACATCTCCTCTTTTTGAAAGGATAGAAGAACACTTACCGATAATATTTCTCTTTGACTATGGCATAAATGAGGAACAATGCTAGAAACCCATCCAGGACAGCAGTCAGAATTTCCAAAGACACAATGGTTGGATCAAAATAAAGCCATCTTGCATCAGCTTTGCCATATTCTTTCCCTAAAGGTAAAATACCTGTTGTTAGTCATCTGGCAAACACTTTTTTTTTTCATGACAGTTAATGAAAATGACCCCTTTCCCTAAAAAAGGAGATCAAAAGAATACTTGCTGTTCTCTTTACATTCTTCACAACAACATAATAACGATATGTTATAGTTGTAAAATAATTTAGTTTCCAAAGTGACTGCACAAATGACCCCTCTCTACCCTTGAGCCTTTATAAGTAACAGAATTCTGTATTAATCCAACATAGTCAGTCTTTAATAATGATCTGTGTAGGTGCATTGTAATTCCTTATTTCAATATTTCAACATAGCTGGGTACAATGGTGCACACCTGTAATCCCAGCATTGGAGGACGAGGCAGGAGGATTGCAAGTTCAAAGTCAATCTCAGCAACTCAGTGAGGCTCTAAGCAACTTAGTGAAACAGGGCTGGGGATATGGCTCAGTAGTTAAGCATCTCTGGGTTCAATCCCCAGCACCCCCCCAAAAAAAGAGGAGTTCTGATATCTTATTGGTCTAAGCCGTGCAAACCTCTAGAGAGTCTCATAATGGTCAGAGGAAGGATCCCTTAGGGCCAGGCAAAGGTCTCTCATGAAAAGCTGTCCTGAAGGAAAAAGGACAATAAACAGGGTTCTCTATTTAATGAGATAACACACAAGATTATCTGCTAGGAGGTCCCCCATAAGGCCATGCCAAGTCATCCAGCCCGTCCTTAGCTGACCCGATTCTGAAATAACTGTTCTGAGGGGAAAGCAATGGAACACTGACAGGAAAAGTTTCCCCCTGAATTTACGCGTATATGACAGGTGAGGTGAATCAGCCAGGGCAGCCCACTTCTAAGGAAATGTCACTTAAGTAAAATTCCAGTGCTTTAGGGACCAAGAGATGAGTGGGTATCAGACCTTAAAAACCAAATGACTCCAAGCCACCATTCATTCCCTCTTTAACTCAACAACTCTCCTCTGGGCTCCTGGGAGGCTCTGCGCTAGGCCTGAGGATGCAGCAGCAACCAGGACGCCCGTCTGCCATGCGAGACGCACACTGGAGAGCAACACCTGCAGAGAGTGATGGTCAGAGAGGGGACCCGCACCAAAGAGAGGGATAAGGGGCAATTCCCTAGACAGGATGTTCTGATCACTTCCTGTCACCTTGCTGGGAAGGAGGGAGTCCCACTTGGTGGGTCATAGAGATGGCCAAACACACCTGGCGCTGGCCATTAGGAGTCCCATTCCCTCAAAGCCTGGGCAAGAGTCACTGCCCAGTCTTTAGGACCACATGGAGGGTCACCTGGGAACACAGTGAACTTCCAGGGGCCATGGAAGCAGGCGTGGTAGTGACAGGAAGGTGGGTTATGTCGCGGTTCCCCTGAGAGGGTGGCGATTGGCTTGTCTGAATAGTTCTGTGGGCTGGCGGGAACTGAGCCCTAGGGAGAGGCAGGCAAGACAGGGTTCCCGTGGTCAGGAGGGCCGCTGGCTCGGGAAACTCCTCCAGGAGGCACAGGGGGTGGGGGCCTTGCAATTTGGCCCTTGGAGGCCCTTGACTGATGTTGAGGCACAGAGTATGGAATTTTGATTTTAGGCCTTACGCCACCAGGGGTACCTCTGACACGGGTGAGGGGTAAGAGCGCTTCAGGGAGGAGCATGCACACCGGCCCGGGGCTGAGAACAGATGTCTGAAAGAACAGAGGAGCGGGCAAAGCTAAGAGGTCACTGTGAAGAGCTGGTGACGAAGGCGGGCTGCACGGTGCCAGCCCTGCTCTCCCCATCCTCGGCTTCTCCTCCTGTTGTGAACTTTGACCTCTCCTTGGCAGTTAAACCAAAGGGCAAACAGCAGCCAAGAGCACAGTGACCTGGTCATTCCCTTTATTTTGTGATTGACAACTGGGCTTAGTCAGAGGCTTAAAGGGAAAGATACCAACTGATGGCCAGAGGAGGTTTCCCTTAGCTGAGCCACTGCTGTGTGCTGACCAAGTGGAGATGAGGACATGGTGCGGGTCCTCATGTGCACAGCTGGCCTACAGCCTCTGAAGCCACGGGCAGTACACGGGACAGTGCCTGGGAGATCCTGGCCCAGACCCTCTGAACCAGAATCTGAATTTGAGTAAGACTGCCAGGTGACTTTGTGCACTGTGGGGTCTGGGAAAAAGTCCTCACTTTTTACTTGCATGAAAATAAAGGGCACCTTCATTAAAGTTTTTACTTCTTTTTTTTGTATACAATACCATTATTATTATTATTATTATTATTATTATTATTATTATTATTAGGATTGAACCCAGGGCTTAGTACATAAAAGGCAAGCACTCCACCAACTGTGCTATATCCCCAGCCCTTATTTCATACATGTTAGGCAAGTGTTCTGCCTCTGAGCATCAATTTTATTTATTTTTAGGTGCTGCACCTCACACATGCAAGGCAAATGCTCTACCACTGAGTCACAACCACGCCCCGAGTTTTTACTTCTCTGAGGTGAACAATGTAAGTGTCAAGATGACTGAGAAAGACTGTGGCTGGCATTCCCACTTCACAGGATTAAGCCAAATTCGAGTGATTTACTTTCTCTGATGGCTGAGCAGCCAGGGCCAGAGGTGGTCACATGGCTTCTGACAAAGGGGACCAGAGAGAGGCTCACCAGAGAGGGGCAGGGACTCAATGTGGATCCTAAGCCTCTGGGCTTCACCAGGCAACATCAATTGAGGGTGAATGCAAAGGCTCACCACCAACTGCTCGGCTGCTTCAGCTTGGCCCTGGGACCTAAGCGGCAGGACTCAGGGGCTCAGAGTCCTCCACTGCAGGGGACACGAGGCCGCAGAGAGGCCACATTTTGTCTTCAGAAGCACTAACCAACTCAACTCTCTGGAGGCTTTCTAACACTAGGCGAGAACAGCAGCCCCACAGGGACCCAGGGCCGGAGGAAGCGATGTCAAAGACGCGAAAGAAAGATGGGCGGGTGGAGCCCAGCGGTGCCCCTGGTGTAGAGTGCCAGGGTCTGATCCCAAGCAAGCAAGCAGGCAAAGCCCAACAACCAGTCACAGACGCAAAATCCGAAAGCAGTTACCCCGAGCAAGGCAGGGTGGCAAAGATGCTGCTGCAGGGCTCATTTATTTGCCAGTATTGGCACAGTTCATGCAGGGAAGCTGGCACTGACTGGACGCCGGCTGATGTCCAGTGGGCAGGAAGAAGATGCGGAAAACCTGTCAATAGCTTAGCAGGGTGGGAGGAGTCCGAGAAAGTATAAGAATACAAATGGAGATGTACAATAAAAAGAAAGTTGATATATATATATATATATATTTTTGGTGGGGGGTTACTGGGGATTGAACTCAGGGGCACTCAACCACTGAGCCACATCCCCAGCCCTATTTTGTATTTTATTTAGAGACAGGGTCTCACTGAGTTGCTTAGCACCTTGCCATTCCTGAGGCTGGCTCTGAACTTGCGATCCTCCTGTCTCAGCCTCCCAAGCTGCTGGGATTACAGGCGTGCACCGCTGTGCATGGCTTGCCCTCACATTTTTAGTTACACATCTTTACTAAGATGTAATTCACAGCCCGCACAACTCCCCTGTTTAGACAGGTTTTATTATAGTCACAGATTTGAATCAACGCAGTCTAACTTGGAAAAAAGAAACCCCCGCCCATTAGCAGTCATTCTTCACTTCCCCCAACTCTCCCACCCCACACCCGCAGCCCTCAGCAACCATTCGCCTATTATCTGTTTCTACAGAGTCACCCACTGAAATGGAATCCTGCAGTAGGCATAGGGGCCTGCATTCTATTGACAGCCACCCTTGCAATTAATGTCCTCTGACATTTCAAATGCAAATATTTTTAATTACTTACATAAAGAAGCAATCAAGCCCTCGGAATCAGCAACATTTCCTACCAAGGAAAAGTAGACAAAAGAGCCTTCCTAGAGAGAAGAAAACGAAGACATGCTCTGATTTAGCACCACAACCAGGGGATGGCACCACCGGACACTGCGCAGTGGCCGGCCTCCCCTCCCCTCCCCTCCGCTCCGCTCCCCCCCATCCCCCATCCAGGGTCCACCTCCTGGTCAGCAGCCTCTGAGACCACACCATCACAGCCTGGGGGGGGGGGGGGTGAACCTTGAGCCTGACTACCCCGCCCTTCAAAAGGAGTAAGTCCAAAGCTAATGTACAATAAATGTCAGCTTCAACCACTAGCATAATGAAATCAGAGGTGTGTGCTTCTATGGGAAAAATAAGTGAACATTTACACAAAGAAAGTGCTTCACTGTTGTAATAAATAGATAAGCTCTTTAATTATTCCAGGGATCTTAAATCTTTAAGAAAAATCACACAGCAGTTCAATTTTTTTTACCCCCCCCAAAAAAAAAAAAAAATCCAAGCTGTCTCTTAACAAAAATGGCAACTGAATGTCTATAAGAATTGAGTTTTTTCCCCTTGCCCTAACTCCCTGCATCAGGACAACTTTAGGAAGACTTAAAATGTTTTCAGGCTTTCTCTTGGCATTGAAGTGATGAAATATCTACAGTTATTGAGCATTTCTCCATCACTTAAGTGCATCTTTGCCTAAGCTTTTTAAAAAAACAAACAACTAGAATTCACTGGGACATCATGTTGCTTGTTTAAATGATTTTGTTGCTGTCAATATAAATTTTTTCCCCATTTCTTTTTATATTAATTTATACTGGGGATTGCACCCAGGGATGCTTTCCCACATCCATCCATCCATTTATTTATTTAGCAGTACTGGGGATTAAACCCAGGGGTGTTTTTACCACTGAGCTATAGCCCGAGCCCTTTTAATTTTGAGACAAGATCTCCCTAAATTGCTGAGGCTGGCCTCAATCTTCTGATCCTCCTGCCTCAGACTCCTGAGTCCCTGGGATTACAGACATGTGCCACCATACCCAGCTCTTGTTTCTTTTTATCAAAGCAATCACTTATTTGACATTAAAACCACCTTTGCTTCTCTTCTGCTCACTTTCAGTACCACTTCCACTTTCAGTACCACTTCCTAGATTTACCACTTTCAACCATTTCTGTCCATTATCTTCCTGATTATGTATTTACACTGATATTTCCTTAGACTGCTCATTCTGAAAAGTTGTTGAATTCATACCACCTCCCCTCTCCTTTCCAGGTTTTCCACTTTTTGATAGCTGTGTCATTCTTCAATTAGTTACCCAAATGTGTAACTTAAGTCATAAACTGGACCTCGGCTCATTCACTCATCAACGTGGCAGTTTCCTGACTTCCTACCACGTAACAGGATCACAACACCCACCCCACACTCCTTCCCTCTTCCCATTTCTAACTCAACTTCTGTCCACTTTGTATGGACATTATGGAGATTAGTTATATTTCCATTATGGTTACGTAAACATATTTATCCTCCTGTTTCATCCATCAGTGGATTCTAAAAGTTGAAAAGCATTCAATAGCATTTACAATATTGTAATTATAGAAATATCATTCACTGCAGTGGGTCACAATTTCCAGAGATCCAGAACCGATTCCAGTGTCACTTAAGAATAACTGCAAATGGAATATACTTAAATTTTTTAAAAATATTTTTTAGTCATAGATGGACACAATATCTTTATTTATCTTTATGTGGTGCTGAGGTTTGAACCCAGTGCTACACCTATAATAGGCAAGTGCTCTACCACTGAACCACAACCCCAGCCCCCTAAAAAAAATTTTTTTGTAGATGGACAGAATGCCTTTATTTTATTAATTTTTATGTGGTGTTGAGGATCAAACCCAGGGCCTCATACCCTTTGCCACTGAGCCCCCAACCCCAGCCCAATACTTTCTTACTTTATGAATGTCTCAAAATCATGCTATGTATTAGTCTGCTGTACATTTGGGCCATGACTTATTTTTAACCTATTTTTGTTTATCCTAAAGTTTGTAATTGCCCTTTTTTTTCTTTTCTTTTTTTTGGGGGGGTGGATGGGGGTACCAGAGATTGAACCCAGGGGCACTCAACCACTGAGCCACATCCCCAGCCCTATTTTGTATTTTATTTAGAGACAGGGTCTCACTGAGTTGCTTAGTGCCTTGCTTTTGCTGAGGCTGGCTTTGAACACATGATCCTCCTGCCTCAGTCTCTCAAGTGCTGGGAACTGCTGGGATTACAGGCGTGCACCAACTGTGCCCAGCTTTTTTTTTGATTGAGAGAAGAAACTTATCTCTCCAGCTCATGAGTATTTCTGTTTCTTACCTGTATTAACCTCTGTTAAACAGAGATTTTAGAGCTGGTTTGTATTTTCTTGATGTTCTTTGTCACTTAACTGATAAACACGGTTTATCTAAAGATATATAAAAATTATATCCCTTAAAGGATATTTATTCATATATGAAGTAAATAACAGTATTTTTACACAAGTAAGTTTTCTCTAGTTTCCTTATTTTGTAAAACTTTATTTTCACCAGCCCATTTTTTATTTTTAGCATTAGCCAGAGTGAAAAACCCACGTTACTTCCTTGGCTTGGCACAGGAACTTTCTAGACAAAAGTACCACTGTTCTGGCCAGCAGGGGTGATGGGGCCGGGCTGAATCTGACCCTTCCTAGGCCTTAGTCCATCTTTCTATAAAAGAAGGACTTGCTAAAATTAGATTGTGGATCTCATCCAAAACCTAGATGTGACTTCCACTAGCAACCTCTTTCCCTGGCCCACGAGCCAAACATGGATTCTGACACTTGGTTACGGACCCTTCCTTAGAAGCAACTGAGGGTAGGGGCAAGATGGAGAGAGACCTGGAAATTACTAACATGTAGGGACCTGCGAGTAGAGAACAAATCTGTTCTCTTTAATCCACCGGTTGAAATTTTACTCAGTTTTCTTTCTTTTTTTAAAAAATATTTATTTTTCGGTTGTAGTTGGACACAATACCTTTATTTTTATTTATTTATTTTTATGTGGTGCTGAGGATTGAACCCAGAGACTCGAATACGCTAGGCAAGCGCTCTACCACTGAACCACAATCCCAGCCCCAAAATTTTACTCAGTTTTCAATCTCAGCCCAAACCCACTTAATTTTTTAAATTTTTATTTGTTCTTTAAGGTATACATGACAGTAGAGGGTATTGTGACATATCATACACACAGGGAGTATCACTTCCCATTCTTGTGGTTGTACATGATGTGGAGTTACATTGGTCATGTATTCATATAAGAACATAAGAAAGTTATGTCCAGTTCATTCTACTGTCTTTCCTATTTCCACCCCCCAGCTTCCCTTCATTCCCCTTTCTCTAATCCAGTGAATTTCTACCCCATGACACACACTTATTATGAGTTAGCATCTGCATATCAGGGAGAATATTTGGCCTTTGGTTTTTTGGGACTGGCTTATTTCACTTAGCATGATAATCTCCAGTTCCATCCATTTACTGGCAAATGACATAATTTCATTCTTCTTTATGGCTGAGTAATATTCCATATATATGTACTATATTTTCTTTATCCATTCATCTGTTGAAGAGCATCTAGGTTGGTTCCATAGCTTAGCTACTGTGAATTGTGCTGCCATAAACATTGATGTGGCTACTTCACTGTAGTAGGCTGATTTTAAGTCCTCTGGGTATGTGCTGAGGAGTGGGACAACTGGGTCAAATGGTGGTTCCATTCAAAGTTTTCAGAAGACTCTCCATACTGCTTTCCAGATTGGTCGCACCAATTTGTAGTCCCACCAGCAATGTATGAGTGTACCTTTTCCCCACATCCTCGCCAACATTTATCGTCAAATCCTCCTTATTCTAAGAAATTTCCCAAACTTCTTGTGAGGATAAATTTCTCACTCCCCTGTAACTCCCAGGTCACTAAATTAGTTTCTACAATCAACTGCTATTTGCTGCTTATGCATTTTCAGCTCCCATTAGATCACATATCTCTGGTGTCTGGTGTGTTGTTATCGCCATCTCAGAATCCTAAAGAACCTAGGAAGATTTTCGTGTTCAATGTTTGTTAATTTTGAAGTAATGACAAGTTCACACCATGAACTGCCTACAAAGTGGGATGCCCTGTTGAGGCTTTTAGAATGCACTGTATATGTCTTACTATATTAGTGTCCTAAACAGTAATATATAAATATATATAACATATTTTCATATAAATACATATATATGTTATAATGTTTTAATGAATATATTCGTGCTTTCAACTGTGATCAGATATAACCTTCTCCAGGAAGTAGATTTTTTTAAAGATAACTTTATTTATTTATTGTTTTACATGGTGCTGGGGATTGAACCCAGGTACCCAAACGTACTAGGTGAATGCTCTACCTCTGAGCCCCTACCCCAGCCCCAGGAAGCAGATTTTACCGATTCTTTTGATGGAAGGTAGGTGCCCCTCTGTTACGGTTTGGGTATGAGGTTTCCCCCAAAAGCTCTTGTATTAATGCAGGAATGTTCCAAGATGAAATAACTGGATTATGAGCGCCATAACCTAATCAGTCCATTCTAATTTGAACAGACTAACTGGGTGGTGGTACTGTCACCAAGAGGGGTGTGACCCAGTTGTCCCACTCCTCCCTGTGACCCCCCTCCCTTCCGTCTGCTTCCTGGCTTCCAGGAAGAGACCAACACTCCTGAACCAGGCCCTCCCACCATGATGTGCAGCCTCACCGTGGGCCCAGAGCAATGGAGTCTGCCATCTATGGACTGAGACCTCTGAAATCGCGAGCCTCAAATAAACTTCCCTTCCTTGAAGTTGTTCTTGCTGGGTATTGTGGTCACAGTGAGGAAGAGCTGACTAAGACACCTTCCTGCACCAAAACCGACTTCCTCATTCCTTCCTCCAAACTGCCAGTTCTCTTGGGGCAAATGCACGATTCACAGGACATGTAATAAGTGCTAACTAAAATAATAAGAAATAAAAGGAAGGGACGGGATAGAGAACAAGAGGTTTTTTT